TTACTTGCCTATTTGTGTCAGGTTGCAGTCTCGTTGCACAGCATAGTCCAGCATGGTAGATTCCATTAAAAATGCATAATTGCCTTGAAGCACTTTATTAATTCCTTCTTCATACGATTTGACGAAGACTGTGTTCTTTTTGCTCTCCATAAACCTCCACATTTTCTGGTAGATGCCAATTTTCGAGTCCTAAATACCAATTATAGTAAACAATCAGTAAAAGACGCCTGTTCAGGTTTGTGGGTTTTTCGGTCAATGGACCATGGGCCATGAAAAAACAGTGTTTCATTTTTTGCCGAAAAACGGTCACTAATTAACCACAAGAATAGTAAACAATCTTAACACTAAAAGATCAACTTGTGCCATACCCGAAAAAATGTCATTGTACTTCCTCCTTCTAATGTGCCATAGGCGATTTCAGTTTGTTCAGCCAAGTCCTGAGCGCTTTCAATTGGGGTAATCATGCGTTCCACTGTTAAAAATGCAGCTAGATTTGCCGTATAAGAAGAGATGATAATCAAAGTAAAAAACCACCAGATTCCCCCGACGATTCTTGTTGAAGTTGCCTAGAATTTCATACAAGATAGTTATAATCCACACCATTTCTAGTGCGAATATTAAAAAGCTTCAAGCACAACTTGGCTGTCTTCAATCCAATTGACGAGTAATCTAGAGGTAATCCAACCATGTACAGCCAAAAATTCCCATCTTATGTTAGTTTGTGATCTTTGGATGATTTAGTCGACACCTCAAACCAATTTCGTTTAAAGATCCAAAGGTGGTTCTTGCAGGTGTTGCCGCACTGCATTATTTTTGCACTTAAACTCTCTCAAAAGCTCAAAAGCTTTTGAAGTGAGCGTAACAGAAAAGTTAAAAAACCAGCCTGATTACTTTATTGGAACCATCATCTCCAGTTTTCCAGAGTTATTTAATTATTTGTCTACATTTCAGTTGATTGCCGAAATAACCTGATAGTCAACAATGAGCATTTGCCAATTTGTTGAATATTTTTCAGTTTAATGCTTTCTGGTGGAAATTTTGTCAACCTTTGCTGCTTCCTGCTTATCTTTCCAGTTCCATTTCTGTTCCCAATTTGCTAAACTCTCTTAGTGCAGACCTCCTTCTGCCTTCTTCCCGATCCTTTCTAGTTTTTTTTATCTTAGAAAGATGCGAAGTGCATCTATTGTATTTATGACAAGTTTCGTCTTAGTTAAGGAGGATTATTTGATTAGCGCCAGCTAAAACTGTTCCATTTTCCATAGGTTCCATTATTTGTAAGTAACAGATCTGATCGGATTGATTTTCTAAACTAACACTCCGGTTGAATCTTGCTGTCTGAGGTCCAAGTTCTGATTCTTCTGACCTAAACCGATTAGGGCAACAAAAAGCAGAAAGAGCTCGACTGAATTGCACGTTTTATTTAAGCCCTTGCGGTTCAACTTTTGCTTCAAAAAATGCTCCATTCAAAGTGCAACTGTGGTTTTGGCAAATTAGTGTAGTTTTTGCTCCAGTACTCAGAATCTTTGTCCAAACAACTTAAACATCGGTCTAGCTGCATACTTCTAGCATTGGCTACTGAGTACCTTGGGGTTCAAGTCTGATCCCTGCTGCATCAGACTTCCAATGGCAAACCAGAAACTATTTCCAAGAGTAAACTCGTTCTCCAGCATCTCCAGTGTGGTTACTTCTGAGTGCAAATGTCCGCAGGGCCCTTGATCCAGAAATAACTCCATTTCTCCATTTCTGAGATCTGCGTCATTCTCTACATTAAGAATAGATCATATTTTTATTGCCGATTGTTATGTGGAAATTCCAACCTGTTTCGCAGTTATCGCTCCCGATTCCAGACGATACGTCGCTCTCATTCATCAAATTATGCGCGCATATCTCTTCATCGTATTTTCGTAGAATACATTCATAGCATAGTTCCATTTCTCTCCATTCTTTTGGCGAAAATCTGGCCACTATCCAAATTGTAATGGAAACTATTATATAGGCGCCTGCCATATAGACCCAAATATCGAACGCGAACGGAGTCAGAAAGGAAAAGAAACGTGCATGCATTCTTTGGTATTCCTTAAACAAACCAGTAGTTTACTGCTAGATTTTGGCAAAACTTTGCTGAGATGAAGCAGGTGATCCAAATTAGTAGCGGATAATTTTCTATTGAAGTAGAGTCAGAAAGAGTAGTTTGTGTCCATTGCAGAACCTTGTGTTTTGCACGTTTCTGAACGAAAATCCAAGAAAGTCTGATTAGTTGCTGAAAATGTATACATGCCTGTGAAGAGGAACAGAGTGTTTATGATGGTGCGTAGGACTGGAATCAATGAAGTTTTCTTTATGAAAAATTCAATTTCAGAAGCAGTTGATGCTGAATCGAGAACTTTTAATAAACCCTCAAGTTAACTTGATAGATACACATACGGGCGACATGATTAAAATCACGATTTGTTTACATTTTGCAGGATATTTGCAGGTTCCCAATACAACAGAAAAACCTGAGCATTTCTTGATATGGACTTTGCCAAAACCCATTGCAAATTGCAGACATTATATGTATCAAGTGGGTTTTTCGGGTTTTTTTACATTATATGTATGTTTGAAAAGAATAGTTGGCCTTATTACCTCTAGATTTCCCCATAATCTTTATAGAAAATTCCGTTTGCTATTGCAAAGGCTGCATTAAGACACTTTCAAAATCACTTTTGACTGTTAAAGAAATGTGAACAAAACTCGTCGTTTTTTTTCACACATGCAGCAACTATCCAACACCGTGACGCTTCATGCAATAGCAATTAAGCCAAACCTTTGGATTCAATCCGGAGCCCTGCCTTAAAAACGTTCCGGTGATAAACCAGAAGCTATTCGAAACCGAAAATTGGTTTTCTACAATGTCGGAATCCTGATGACACGGATGGGGGTTGTTCCATTCGTAGGGCGAAAAACGTGCCATCACGAAAAGGGTAAATGAAACTGAGACATAAGCAGCTAAAACGTAAATCCAAATTTCGACGGCTAAAGGGTTCATGAAGCTGAACAGTCTTGTCGGTTGACTGGTTGGAATCTAGAAGAAATTTTCATTAAATTGTATGAATGCCACATATGGAAAGTATGAACTAGCGAAATTAACCCGAAGGATCCTTAATATAATGCTCCCCTAAAAAATAACAGCATGAAACAGAAAATCTTATAATGTAATAAGCAATGTGGTGGCAGGAATATATAACTCGATCTAGTTTTGTTATACGCTTTTATGACTTTCCGTTGTAATGGATTCTTTGGGAAAAGTTGGTTTTTCACGACAATTCCATCGAAAGCGCTGTTTTGCAGGAAAGTTAATTCGGAAAATTCACTTCTTGCGTTACAACGCGACTTTGATTAAATTATGGAAGACGATGTTCATCTTGGTTACTTAATCAACTTATTCCTAATTCTAGTTTCTGTTACTACTGCATTCTGACTGTCTGAGAAACTGACTAGCGGCAAAGGCTATTATTTTCTATTCAAATTTAAAAAGTTTTCAAATTAAATTTTTAATGTTTGAAAAATCTGTTTGTATGTACAATTATTCTTCCAAATTTTAGCTCTAGATTTCTGGTAATTTTTCTAAGCGCTTTGCAATTTAAACTGCTCAACAGAAAAACGTTACGCGGTCAAATTTGCCCTAGTTTCGGAGCTGGATAAATTCTGATTTCTTCAAGCGATTAAAGCGTTCTTTTGTGAWTTTTTTTTCGGTTAGGGAGTGTTTTTGCAACAACATCACTTACATTACTTTCAAACAATCCGTTCATTCATACAGTCTTGTATATCGAATTTTAGMCTTAAGTTGACCATATTCATTCATCATGAGCCGGAAATTGGACAATCGGTCCATAACAAAAATTTMTTTTCAACACATTTACAAGAAAAAAACATTGCCATTTTGAAACCATCTCGAAGCAACAGTTAAATCTCATTTGCTCGTTTAGTGTCCGAATTCAATGCTCTAATATAGAATTGCTACAGATGCTTCGGCTGGCTCACCATTAGTGTGGCACTTTTTCAATGATTTTAGAAGTTGTAGTTCAAAAAAATAGCGCAATCTTAAAGAAAATCCACTTAAGAACTCAAATGAAACGACAGAAAACTTTTAGGTCCTTATGGAAACATAAGTGGAGAAAAAAGTTATTTTTTTTGCTGGGATTTATTTCCATTTAGTTCGCTTTGATAATGTCCATTACCTACAGGTTATAATTAATCCAGTTTAATTTTCAATTAAATTATTTCCCCGATAATTAATGACCGCAATCAGTCATGCTTCTGTTGTATTCTATGATAAAGTTTTCAGTATTCTGATGAAATTCGCATTACAAACAAATTATTATCCATTATCAACTTTATTTCAGAATGTTAACTAATCTGCGTAATTTAGGGCACATTGTTTGGCTGACAAAGTAGGGGACATGTTGAATATAATCAAAGTATTGTATTCAGTAATATTTATTAATGGTATTCAATGCAAAACGAGTTCTTCAGATATAACGGGTTTAACTGCATTTGCTAGTTTCATTTTTTATAAACTTTGCTTCACCAGGATCATCCTAGACAGCGGTAATAAAATATAAAGGAAAAAACTTGGAACAAATTCCAACTAATTATTATTTCTCCACAAGCATTACGATTTAAGTAAACTTTCCTCATCGCTATATTGCTGATACTAAATTTTCCTGTTGGGAGTTTTATGGATCGCATGATTCAAGTGGGCGTCAGCTCCAGGTATGGTAAKATGTGAAAATTGAAGAAATTGTTTTGCACTTTACTGCATGGTGTTGTTCTTGTCACTTGCGATGCCTTCGCCGGAATTTTTCACTAACAGAATTTGCATTACTGAAAGGCATAAAAACGATTTAAAAACCTTGATGACTCTTCTATTGTGCTTACAATTCAGCTTCCAAAACTTTCAACTTTCCTTAAATGACCTACATAGAAGAAACCAAGTCTTTTACGACAAATTAGTCAAATGCCAGAAACTTTGCACGGTTTGGCTGTGCACTGAAACGAAATTTAATTTTGAATCTCTTTTATCCATTTATGCTCACACTAATCCTCGACAAAGTTCAAAAGGCAATGTCGGATCTAATGCAGAGGAATTTTCGTATAAATCAACGTTTTTGCTCTCGGTTTCAATCTCATTTGAAGCGGGAACTTCAACTTAACGTAGAATACGGGCCTCATTTCCAATAAATATTGGCTCGGGCGTTTTTGCTAGCAAGATATAAACTTTAATTTAAGCTAGCAGAACAAGCGAACTTGGAACAGGTAGTGGAAAGTCAAAGTTACTTTTTTTTCCAAACACTTTACATAAACGTCCCGAAAAGTTGATAGGGCTGGTAAGAATTGCATTTATTCAAGTATGTAACGGTGGAACTCTCACAAGTACCGACTGTAAATTTTTAAACATACTTTTATTGATACATTTATTTTAATCTATAAAAACTACTGGCACTCCAATTATATTTTCATCAACATCATTTCAACAGAAGTTATGACTGCCGACGAACAAAATCCAGCATTCAAATGGATTTTATGTTTTTTTATCCTCCCTCATTGGAATATCCTTCGTTACAATTTTCGTATTGTGTATATCAAAAACAACACTTAATTAAAACGAGCGAGAGCTGAAAGCAAAAAGCTACACAGCAAATAAATGATTTATTCGCAGAGGAATATTGTTCTACAAAATCTCCATTTTTCTCACAGTTTTCCTTATTTTTATGCCTGTTAATACGGTACAAACAACGCAACTTGTAAATTCAATTTGCCATCATAAAACAGTCGGCAAAATAACGTTTAAAAAAACATGCTCAAGTCTCGGGAGATGCTTTTGTCACGATGATTTCAAGATCTTTAAATAATCCCATGGGCACTTAAAATTATTATAAATCAGGTAGGAAGTTACTGGGCGACCCCAAAATGTTAAATCTGGTATTTCAATTAGCAGATTGCCATAACGTCGTAGAGCTCCGTACATAATTCATCTGCAAAACTGCGAAAATTAATCCGAAACAAGAGGGAATGTTTAATTTCGACCTTAAAACATTATAAATTCAGCAATACTGGAACGTTAACGCTTTTGAGCGGTCTCATAACCCTTCGTCATTATTATTTGGCGTGGTTTTATAATTCAAGTGGCCCTCGAGAGACGAAACAATTTTAAAACTAACGCCGTTTTGCGGAAATTTATCGCTACCTGTTTAGCAAATTGTCCGGATCTGTTTGTTTATCGTTGGTGATGAATTTTTCACATCGTGGTTCGTGTCTAAAACATCTATGGAGATTTGTTTCGACAATTTATAGATTTTCGCAGTTGTCAAATTCTCGAACTCCTAATGAGAATTTCACTAGGGAGCAACAATGTCGCAGAAAGTTGAAGCTGTAAACAGAGAAATTTTGATAAAAATCGCCTAATAATAAACAGTCTACTAGTGAACGATTCCAGACGACAAAAGCGCGCTCTTCTGAAAAATTTCGCGACTACTTACTAAGAGCAAATTACTACTTACTAAGAGCGAACTTGAAAGTTTAACACAACAAATAAGACAGTTGATTCTGCAAATTGAGAAACTTTCATTTAAATTGCACCTAATCCTGAATTTTTTTCGGCTTTATGAGGTCGAGTCTAAGAACCAACGTTTCCAGCCAAAAGTGAGGTCATTTGAAAATTGCATAACGACGAATAAAGAGAAACCGAGAACTTGAAAGTTTCTGCAAATATCGCCGAAGGTTGAAGCTGAAAACCTAAAAACGTTTATGAAAATCGCATAAGAATTTGATTTTTTTCTGCTGTCCAAACTTGCGTCTAATAGTGACCGATTCCAGGCAAAGCGCGCTTTTCTGAAAAACCGCGCGACTACTAATTAAGAAAAATTCAAAACTTGCAAGTTTTGCACAACAAATAGAACAGTTGATTCTGCGAATTGAGAAACTTATGTAGAAATCGCACTTAATTTTGATTTTTTCTGCTCTATGAACTCGAGCCAA